ACTTCTGTTTTTCCCTTCTTGCATTTTACTTGTTTTCTTTACTTCTTTTATAAACATTGTTCCTGGCTGAGCATGATGGCTCATGCCTGTAATTCCAGAACTTTGAGAGGCCGAGGTGGGCGAATTAATCAAAGTCAGGAGTTCAAGATCAGCCTTGCCAGTATAGTGAAACCTCGTCTCTACTAAAAACACAAAAATTAGTCAGGTGTAGTGGTGGGTGCCTGTAGTCCTAGCTACTCAGGAGGCTGAGGCAGGAGAATCGCTTGAACTCAGGAGGCAGAGGTTGCAGTGAGTTGAGATCACACCACTTCACTCCAGGCTTGGCAACAGAGCGAGACTCTATCTCAAAATTAATACATTTTTAAAATAATAAAAAAATAAAAACACTGTCCCTGTGCATTAGAGGTCAGCAGAGGCAAGAAGACACATTCTAGTCAACCCCCCCCCCCCCCCCCCCCCTTGGGGGGCCCAGGGGGGGGGAAAGTTGAATTTTTCTGGAGTATCTTATTTTTTCCAAATGGTGAAAAAAAACAGCTTAAACTAATTTGTACATTTAATCTTTATTCTCACTAGGTATATTATACAAGCTATATACTCGATAATAGCTGAATAGTAAAAAAGAAGTAAAGTGTCCATTTTGAAGTGTGTTTTTTTAAAAGGTTTCATTTGCTTTTAAAATTAAATTATTGGCTGGGTACCGTGGCTCAAGCCTGTAATCCCAGCACTTTGGGAGGCCGAGGCAGGCGGATCACGAGGTCAAGAGATTAAGATCATCCTGGTCAACATGGTGAAACCCCATCTCTACTAAAAATACAAAAATTAGCTGGGCATGGTGGCGTGTGCCTGTAGACTCAGTTACTTGAGAGACTGAGGCAGAAGAATCGATTAAACTTTGGAGGCAGAGGTTGCAGTGAGCTGAGATCATGCCACTGTACTCTAGCCTGGTGACAGAGCGAGACTCCGCCTCAAAAAAAAAATAATTTGAATTATCAGCAAGTCCCAGTACCAAACTGCTAATGCTGTGCATGCAAGTTAGGGGTCAAGGCTCTAGTTAAGGAAACAACATTTCGAAATAGTAAGAACAAGCAGCTTGGATTAAAAATTACATCTGCTTATATTTTCTCAGCCAAGATGTTTTGCTTTTTAGCTTGCTGTTTTCTTTTTTTTTTTTCAACATAGATATTGTTAATCCAGGGATGAGTACTCCTAATCTCCACTAATTCATTCCTTTAGGGTCGATAGATCTCTTTCACACTGTATGATTCTAAATATTTTGTTCTAAGGAGGGACAGTTTCTCTCTGTGATGTTTCACATCTGGTGTGGGAGAGCTCAGACAGTGAATCTCAACATAAAGCCATCTGGGAGCTGGCCTTGATAGAGATAGCAACTTAATCATTAAAGAGTTTAAAATGGTGCATTTTCAAAGTAGAATCATGTACTGGGAGGGGGATAAATTGAGATAAACACTCTCTTTGGAATGCTTTGTTGAGATGAATTTGTAATGTTCAGTTCCCAGTCGTAATATGAAAAAACAAGCTGAATTTTCAACACAACAGGCAGAAGTGATTAAACCAGGCTGTTGTTTGCACATGCCTTGGCATATGTTTCTAAAAATATCAGAGAGACGCCTCCTTCAGAGTCATTTTGTGGCTTTCTCTCTCAACCGGACCCTCACATCTCTGGAAACCACCCAACATTGGAATCAGAGGTTGAAATGGTCATTGCCAGATTTCAGGCCTGCTGAACACTGATCTAAAACCTTCAGAATTATCTAGAATGAACCCAGTATCTCCATGGGAAATAGTTCGTTTCTCCCCAGTACTGGAAAATCCTGGCAGCCCTAGACCTGCACGGCCTCACACAGCATAGGTAATCCATTGGCTAGCCTTAGCTCTCGCTTGAATCACTTGCAGATCCAAATTAGCCCAAAGGAAATGTAGGGATCATCTGGTCCAGACTCTTATCCAAACTCTCATTTTATGGATATAAAAATAAGCACCCAAGAAAGTTAAGAGCTTCGCCCAATTGAGAACACATAGTGAGCCAGTGATAAAATCAGAAGTAAAATGAAGGTCTCCCAAATTCTGGTACAGTGGCAAGTGGCTCAGATGCTGCTTCACTCTTTGCTCAAAAAAAGGAAGCTGGTGCCAGGCACAGTGGCTCACGCCTGTAATCCCAGCACTTTGGGAGACTGAGGCGGGTGGATCACAAGGTCAAGAGATCGAGACCATCTTGGCCAACATGGCGAAACCTTGTCTCTACTAAAAATACAAAAATTAGCTGGGCATGGTGGTGTGTGCCTGTAGTCCCAACTATTGGGTAGCTGAGGCAGGAGAATCACTTGAACCCGGGAGGCAGAGGTTGCAGTGAGCTGAGATCGCGCCACTGCCAGCCTGGCACTTGACGACTGGCGATGGAGCAAGACTCTGTCTCAAAGAAAAAAAAGGAAGCTGGTATCTCTCCAGGCTAATTGGCTTACATTGCCAATGTTCTTAGGTTGGTGGAGTCCTTTAAGGCAGTGCTACTCAATGTGTGGTTCACAGACCAGCTCCCTTGGCATCCCCAGGGAGCTTATTAAAATGGAAATCATTTTTTATTATTATTAATTTTAGCAAAATACACGTAACATCAACTTAACCATATTTATTGATACATAATAATTATATATATATTTATGGAATAATGTGATATTTTGACACATGCATTCAATGTGTACTGATCAAATCATTGTATTTAGTGTATCTATCACCTTGAACATTTATCATTAGGTCAGGTTGGGAACATTATAAATCTTCACTTCTAGCTATTTAAAAATATGCAATAAATTGTTGTTAACTATAGTCGTCCTACCTATAACTTATTCTTCGATTTAGCTGCATTTTTGTAACCATCAACCCACGTCTCTTGATTTCTGCCTCTGTCTCTTCCCAGGCTCTGGTAATAATCATTCTATGCTCTACTTCCATGAAATCAAATTTTTTAGTTCCCACATATGAATGAGAACATGTGATATTTGTCTTTCTGTGCCTGGCTTATTGCACTTAAGAACCTCCAATTCCATTCATGTTGCTGCCAGTGACAGGATTTTACTCTTTTAAAAAATGGCTGAGTAATATCAGTTGTGTATATGTACACCACTTTTTCTTTATCCACTCATCCACCACCTTAGCCATCTTTAGGTGTGCAGTTTAGCAGCGTTAACTACATTCCACGATGTTGTTCTACTGTCACTACCATCCATCTTCTGAACTATTTTTATTTTGCAAAACTGAAACTCTGTACCCATTAAACACTAACTCCCCATTTACTCTTCCCCTCAACCCCAGGAGATCACCATTCTATATACTGTCTCTATGAACCTGACTACCTTAGATACCTCACATAAGTGCAATTATTTTGTTCTTTTGTGACTGACTTATTTCACTTAGCATAATATCCTCAAGGTTCAACCATGTTTTAGCATGTATCAAAATTTCCTTCTTTTTAAAGGCTGAATAATATTCCATTATATGTATCCACAACAACTGGTTACTACACTTGACCTTAGCCAAAAGGCCAAGAAGACGCCCGGGCGAGACTCTGAGATGGCTTTTGTCTGGTGATGGACAAAGATAAATCTCGGTGGAACCTCCAAAATGTTGTACTGAATCGAGCATAGAAAGTCAACACCAAGACAAAAGTATGCCAAATTGCAGGGTCTTTATTGTCGGTGGCCACGGAGGACTCGCGTCTCTCCAACCCATGGCCCTGAAAGGAGGGTGTCAAGACCTTTTATACCCGTAAAACCACCTCGGGGGTGAGGGTGAGGAGCGGGGATGGTGATGGGGGGCTTCAGACATTCCTAGGGCTAGAGGATTCTGTAAATCACCTCCTGGGCGGAGATGAGGGTGAGGGGCTCCGGACATTCCAAGGGCCAGGGGACTTTTGTCACTCCGATTGTTACTTAAGTGGTTCACAAAAGTCAAGATTAGTTTTTACGTTGCCTGGGTAGGGTGGAAATCACAGACCTTAATTACTTATTACAAGTTTCAGGGGCCAAGATGGAGTGGGTTTGGACTGCTTGCCTGTCACATTAGGGGTTACAGACAGCAGTTTCAACAGAAAGCCGAGGTATGGTTGAGGTATGCAGTTTTATGGGAATTTTACCATGTCACAATGTAAGATGCTAACATTAGAGGACACTGGGTGAAAGGTATTTGGGAAACTTGTACTCATTTTGCAATTTTTTTCTTATATCAATAATTACCCCCACAAAATTCTAAAAGATATGCATTAGATTACGGAGGGAAAAAAAGCTTAGTTTGAGATTTGCTTCAAATATTGTTGATAATTGTCGAAGCAAGGTGATGAGTTCATCAAAGCTTTGTAGTGTTCTTTCTATATTTATGTATGTTAGGAAATTTCCATTAGATAACTAGAAATTACATATACATGTATTAAGCCCTTTCCATGTGCTAAGCACTGTGGTTAGCCATGGAGACTTGGCAGCCCTGTCTCAAGGAGCTCACAGTTAACACGGTGAGAGAAGACATAACGCACGGAACGTAGAAAGAGTGGCGTGATACAGGAAGCATATGCCTGGAAGCAGGGGAGAAAAGAGTGCTCCAAACCGAAGAAACAGAATGCAGAGCCTTGGGCTAGAAATGCAAATGAACTCAGGAAACACAGCTGAAGTCTTTTGTCTGCCCAGGGCAAGGACGACTCAGCCAGATTCTTTGGTCCTATAAAACTTGGTGACATTATTTATAATTGAGTCTTTTTAAACAAATTTAGAAGGCAATCTCCCTATTCTCTTGCTCAAGTCCCCTTTCCTGACACCGCCCTCCTGTGACACTCTCCTCCTCTCCCCACGATGTTTTCTCCTCTGTCATAAATCGGCAGCTTATTTCACAAGATCCTCCTTAAGCAGTGTTCAAAGGATACTGGTCCCCAGTGACCTTCTGAGGGAGCCAGATAGATCTGAACTCTTCTTTTTGTGCACTTATGAATAGCCTTGAAATGAATTGCTATCATTTCCTTCCTAGCAGAGCGCGGAACTCTGGAGACCAAAGAGGTGTGGGAGTGGCCATTCCCAATTAGACTCCACCGCCCTCAGAAGGCAGGAGTTGGCTTAGTATTAAAGCAGCTAACATACACGTCAGGAGGTGGCCTTGAGGAGCTGAACGGAGACCCGCTGGACTGATTAGGTTAGTACTGACCTTAAAAAATCTTCATAAATGTTCTCATATCTACTTCACTAAGAAAAACAATTTTGCATGTGTGACTTTGTGTGAATACTTTATGTTCTTGCTGCTTTTCTGTGTGCTCAGGAGACAATTTAAGCATTGTTAGTTCCTGGACATGTCCGTAAAGAAAAATAATATTCAACCATATAAGAGCAAAACCAGAGCAATGAATTTGATAACATGAGAAAATTTAGAGTGATATCATTGTAGACAATCTGAAAATACAACTATATTAGTGCCAGGCCGCATGCAGAAGTTTGCTTATGGTAAAGCCGTTTATTAAAAAGGATATATTTGTGTGATTCATACAGGAGTCAACACACAATTACACTAGATTTACAGTTGTCAGTGTCACACATTTGGGAACATGGCTTAATCCATGAAAAGGAAAAAATCTGGAGGGTTGTATTCCTCTAGAACTGGCTCTCGCGAATGGGAAACCAGTCATCCATGCTTACCAATTAGGATCTAAATTTACACTTCCATCATTGATTTTTATGGAGATTAGTTTATTGCTCATGTAAGTGACTTTGCGACTGAGCACCAAGAAGCGTCCTATTTTTCCTTCTTCTCCTCCTTCCTCTCTCCTTCTCTTTGCCCTCCTTCTTCCTCACCCTTTTTTTCCTCTCCTGCCTCTTATTCCTCCTCTTCCTCCATGTTCAATATATCTGAGACCAAAGGGTGAGCAGTGTTTAAAGTCTCAAAATTGCACGTGAAGCTAAATGTATAGGAATTTTAGGGTAATAAGGCAAGTGGATCTAAGAACAATAATACGCCCCCCTTCAGCTATCATATTCCCTGTCCCGCAGAATACGCAGATTCCTTCTAACTACAAAATCTTTCTATTTGCCAAATTAAGTATTATCCTGGGCTACCCTGCCAAAGCACTTACCCAATTAAAAAAATTTTTTTTTTGCGTAGTCATATTACTACTATGTGGAGAGTTTTGTTGCTTTGATAATTCTTTTTAAACAGCAGATTTCTGGGTTTCGTAATCAGGATTGGTTATTTCACTGTCATAACTCTAGTTTGGTTTTCTTGTGTGCTTTTTGTTTGTTTGTTTTGCGACAGTCTCATTCTGTCACCCAGGCTGGAGTGCAGTGGTGTGACCACGGTCAATGCAGTCTTAACATCTTGGGCTAAAGTGATCTTTCTGCCGCAGCCTCCCGAGTATCTGGGACTACAGGTATGGAACACCAAACCCAGCTAATTTGTTTTTTTTGATAGAGACTTTATTTAATTGCCTAGGCTGGTCCTGAACTCCTGAGCTCAAGCAATCTTCCCTTCTCAGCCTTTTGAAGTGCTGGGATTATAGGTGTGAGCCACCATGGCCAGCCCTAGTTTATTTTATTTTTTTATTTTTTATTTTTTTTGAGACAGAGTTTCACTCTTGTTACCCAGGCTGGAGTGCAATGGCGCGATCTCGGCTCACCGCAACCTCCGCCTCCTGGGTTCAGGCAATTCTCCTGCCTCAGCCTCCCAAGCAGCTGGGACTACAGGCACGTGCCACCATGCCCAGCTAATTTTTTGTATTTTTAGTAGAGACGGAGTTTCACCATGTTGACCAGGATGGTCTCGATCTCTTGACCTCGTGATCCACCCGCCTCGGCCTCCCAAAGTGCTGGGATTACAGGCTTGAGCCACAGTGCCCGGCCCTAGTTTATTTTTTTAATTACACTACCGTATTCTAAAATAGTGAGCACTATGAGGCAAATGCAAAAAAAAAAAAACCAAACAAACAAACAAAAAAGGATTGCTCTTGTGAAATCCAGCCGTGTTATACCCTATGAAGCATGGGCTGAACTTTAAGCAATGCACTGCACTATGCTTAAAGTCTATGAGAACTTCTCTGCTTCCCGGGAGCTCACAGTCTGAGGGCTGGGGGAAATGAAAATGATAACTTCTGCATGCTGTATATTCAATAATAAGACATAACAGAAAGAAACGGAAGTCAGAAGACCTAGGTTCTAATCCAGACTTTGACATAACTAGCTTAATGGCAAATTGCACATAGTCTCTTTGGAGGTTCAACATATTCATCACAAACCTGGAGGAAGGACTAGCTAGATCCCTTCTAGCTCTGTAACTTGGGAAGTCTTGTGGGGAGAGCTAGAGATATCAGTAGAACATACAGTTTTTATAAGGCACATGATGTCACCACGTAGGTTGGAACATAATGCAAGTCAGTAGTGCCTGGAATAATTACCAACGTAAAAATAAATAAATAAAAACAAAGGTCTTATACAGGAAAGCCTTAGAATCTCAGAGGGACCCTGTGAAATCACATTGGTGTCGGACCTAGCTAGCGCAGACAACTCACAGGTGGAGACAATCGTGCTGTGAGGAATGAAGACACTCCTTGTTGAATCATACATACTAGAGTTCATTTTGCTTCTCTAGACTCATTCATTCATCTATTCATGTGTTCATTCATTCATTTTAAAGAAAACAAGGACTGATACCATGGCGGGGAAGCCTAAGCTTCACTACTTCAATGCACGGGGCAGAATGGAGCCCATCCGGTGGCTCTTGGCTGCAGCTGGAGTGGAGGTATGTTCTGAGCTAGGTCATCTTAAGTTAGACCTAATTGATTATATCAAAATATTTTAGTAAGGTGGAGACTTCCATACTTGATGACCTGTGAGTACTTTGGCCTTAAATAAAAACATCCCCAGTTATTTTTTTTTAATGGACAAATTTTACCAAATGAAATTTTAAAAATCTATTCATCAAAAAGCACATGAAAAATAACAAATAAGCAATTAAAAATATATATATATACATATATGTATGTATGTTTATGTGCACATAAATATACATATATATATGTATATATGTATATTTATGTATATGTATATATGTATATACATACACAAACATATATATGTGAAGTCACATTGGTGTTGGACCTGTCTCGCTCAGACAAAAGTCACAGGTGGAAACAGTCTTGCTGTGAGGAAGGAAGACACTCCCGTTGTTGAAACATACATATGTATGTATATTTGAGACAGAGTCTGGCTCTGTGGCCCAGGCTGGAGTGAGTGGCACATCTCAGCTCACTACAACCTCCACCTCCCAGATTCAAGCAATTCTCTGCCTCAGACTCCCGGATAGCTGGGACTATAGGCGCCCGCCAGCACACCCAGCTAATTTGTATATTTTTAGTACAGACAGGGTTTCACCATCTTGGCCAGGCTGGTTTTGAACTCCTGACCTTGTGATCCACCTGCTTCAGCCTCCCAAAATGCTGGGATTACAGGCATGAGCCACCACAGCCTCTCTAAAATATATTTGTAAAGGAATCATAAACTAATCACAATGAGTGGACCTTATTTGTATTAGGATTTAAACAAATTATAAAATATAATTTATGACACATAACAATTAGAAACCTGAATATTGATTGAATATTAGATACTAAAGAATTATTGTTAAATTTTTAGTGTGATTTTGTTTGTAATTTTAGGTATGATATTTCTGTTAGTTTTAACATAGTTGTTAAGTTTCAGAGATACACACTTAAGTATTTAGGATGAGATAATATGATATCTCAGATTTGTTTCATATTATGACCAGAGGAGGAGAAAATCTGGACATACAAATGAAAGACTGGCTTGGGTTGATAATTATTGCAGCTAGATGATTGAAACAAAGAGGACTGTTGTATTTAATGTGTATTTTTCATATATATGAGAAATTTTATACAATAAAATGGTAAATACATAAGAAACTAAGTATCATTAAACATAAACTATAAACCACAATGAGAGCAGGGAGGGAGTGCATTGTAACAAGCTTCCAGTTCAAGACTGAGTATATTCAGTCAACAGTTATTTTTATGTGCACCTATTAAGTGCCAGTGGCAGCAGAAAGGAGAGTTCCAGACTTTGTTATCTTTGTACAAACGGATACCCTGTCTCACTGTCACCCAGACGTCAGCTCTGAGGCTCAGTGCCTTTTCTCCAGTGACGTTCCCTCTCTAATCATGGACATTTGTGAGGTCGTGGGAAGGTGAAGTAAACGAAAAGATGAAGCAGGCCGGGAGCAGTGGCTCACACCTTTAATCCCAGCACTCTGGGAGGCCAATGGGGGAGGATTGCTTGAACCCAGGAGTTCAAGATGAGCCTGGGCAACATAGTGAGACCCTCATCACTACAAAATAAAAATAAAAAATTAGCTGGGTGTGGTGGTGCATGCCTGTAGTCACAGCTACTCAGGTGGCTGAGGTGGGAGGGCCACTTGGGCCTGGTAGATCAAAGCTGCAATGAGTCGTGATCACACCACTGTCCTCCAGCCTGGGCGACAGAGTGAGACTCTGTCTCCAAAAAAAAAAAATTGAGCAGTTTTACGTTTTGACCCATGCCCTTTTCTTGAGGGATCTAATCTAAATTTCCAAGCGGCCATGACCAGCCTCTTCTGTATACCCTGCTAAACTCAGAAATCTTATGTTCTCCAAATTATGTACCAGATGGGGGCCATTCAAGTTTACAAGTCTACAGTGCTATGGAATGGACTAACAAGAACCCATTTACTGTTTCTGTTTCCAGTTTGAAGAGAAATTTCTAGAATCTGCAGAAGATTTGGAAAAGTTAAGAAATGGTAAGATCAAGTCTCTAAGTGCCTCTGATGAGGGTATCTAGTAGAGAAGGTATAGTTGAAGATTTTAGACCAGGCGAAGCCTATGTGTGTGTAGGGTGGTAGCTGGGGTGGTGGAGAGGGAGAAAGTGGTTAAAACAGAAGGAATGTGGCTTCCTGAGCAGGTCTGGCAACTCTCTCCAGCTAAAGGGCCAGAACTCTCAGAGTATTTGCCAGAGGAAGCATCTCCAGTGCCCTGAGAAAGCCCTTTCCTTGTTTTCATGCTACAGGCACCATGAATGAGCTGCAGTCATCAGCTCGGGATCCCACACAGCCCTCCCCATCCAAGGACACACAAGAGCGTGAATAAGATGAAAAGAATAGAAATAGATATGGCCATTACCTTGAGTTGTTTTCTTTCATGGGTTATGTGACACGGTAATATTGTAGTAATGCCGTAGGTTTTGAAGAGCACAGAAAGGGATCGCTATGTAAAATCATGTTTCAGAACCAATCTTAAAAGTCATGAACACCATGAGACTTAGCCTGGGAAGTTCTCATTTTAAATGACATCTCCCTGGTACTCCTGTTGTAACCTGTCCCAATTTTTTCCTAAAATATCATGAACATAAATCAACACAAGAAAAATACAAGGGACCTATTATGTATCTGAATGCGGAATAAAAACCATAAATGAAGTAACAGGCTAAAAGGTGAAAGAAATCAGATAGAAAAAGAACTACAGGAAGCTAAAATCAAAATGTTATTTCATTTTGGAGGTTAACAGGCAATAATTTCATTTTCATTTTATCACCATCTTTTCATCCTGAAGGAGTGGGATTCATAGAAATTTCATGCTCTTTTTTACTTTCTTTCTAAAGATGGGTATTTGATGTTCCAGCAAGTGCCAATGGTTGAGATTGACGGAATGAAGCTGGCGCAGACCAGAGCCATTCTCAACTACATTGCCAGCAAATACGACCTCTATGGGAAAGACATAAAGGAGAGAGCCCTGTACGGTATATTTTCTGTTCTTCCATCAACAGAGAGCACAGAGTGATTTAGGTCCTTCCTTGAGTGGGTGGGACCATGGCAGGGGCATTATGACAAGCAGCAGGCTGGGTCTTGGGCATGTATGCCGAGATCCAGTATTTTAGAGTCCCGTGGAGATGAGGGAACAGTGAACATGGGGTGGGTTCAGGTGAGGGTGATTCTAGAAGAGGATGCAGTCCATGGATCCAGCACCTGATGGTGATTTCCAAACACGGATGAACCATGAACTGAGGAGGATGCGAATCATGATTCCAGGTGCTCAGGCCTTCACAGGCTGGACTTCAGTCAACAGCTTAGGACAAGCATAGACTGTTTGGGAGTCTAGATGAAGGACTGGGGAGGGAAGGCTGCAAAGGGGCTGAATCTCAAGTTCCAGTAATTCCAAGAATGATGACCAGGAACCCAAATTACCAGCCCATTATATGGACTGGTCAACTTGAGCAGGGCTAGTAGAGGCTGGCACCCAGAACTCTGGGGTTACCTTGACACATTGATTCAAGGCCAAGGCAGCCAGATTTATTGAAAACCAGCAAAGCCACGGGGTCTCCTTGCTGTTGTGATAGGGCTGCCAGATTCCAAATAACATCCCATGTGAAACTATTGGCAGTTCTTCAAAAAGTTTAATGTAGCGTTCCCAATGACCCAGCAATTCCTCTACTAGGTAAATCACCAAAAGAATCAAAATACTTCCACACCAAATCTTGTACATAAATGTATAGTGCAAATAACAGCAATTTTCATGGTATTCAGAAAGTAGAAATAACCCAAATCTCCATGAAACAATAAATGGAGGAACAAAATGTGCCTTAGCCACACAATGGAACAATATTTAGTCATGAAAAGAAAAGAAGTACTGATGCGTGCTACAAGATAGTTGAGCCTTAAGGACATGTTACGTAAAATAAAGTAGACACAGAAGGCCACATATTGTAGGATTGTGTGTATGAAATGTCTAGAATATTCAAACCCATAGAGGCAGAAAGTAGATTAGTGGTTGCCTGAAGCTATTTGGGGCTTGGGGAAAATGAATACTGAATGAGTACAGATGTCCTTATCAGGATGATAAAAATATTCTAGAATTAGATAAAAATATTCTAGAATTAGAGTGCAATGATATTTGCAGAATTCTGTAAATGCACTAAAAGTCACTGAATAGTACAATTTAAAGGGTGACAACTATAATATGTGACTGTATGTTAATAAAACTATTGTTTTTAAAAGTACTGCGGAAAACCCAGTTAACACAAAAGAAAAAAAAGTTCAGCCGGGCGCGGTGGCTCAAGCCTGTAATCCCAGCACTTTGGGAGGCCGAGGCGGGTGGATCACGAGGTCAAGAGATCGAGACCATCCTGCTCAACATGGTGAAACCCCGTCTCTACTAAAACTACAAAAAATCAGCTGGGCATGGTGGTGCGTGCCTGTAATCCCAGCTACTCAGGAGGCTGAGGCAGGAGAATTGCCTGAACCCAGGAGGCGGAGGTTGTGGTGAGCCGAGATTGCGCCATTGCACTCCAGCCTGGGTAACGAGCGAAACTCCGTCTCAAAGAAAAAAAAAGTTCTTCTAAAATATGTCCTGGATGTGACTATATAAAGAATTTCACCAAGGAAGACGATCTTTTAGGTTGGATGTCAAGTAAGGCACACATGGCCAGAGCCAGGCAACAGCACATGGAGAGAGCTGTGGAGTTTCACAGGAGTAATTAGAAAAACTGCTAATACTGGGCATAGAAGCGGACCTGGGAGGTGTAAAATGATGAGAGAGGGTGAGGAACATGGTTGAGATGGCTGTGCCAGGGACTCTCTTAGGATTACTCAGGAGGCAGGTCTTTGGCCATTTGACTCACACTAAGTTATGTACAGAACAAACCACAATAGACATGGAAAATCCCGGCACAGCATCAGTGGTTAATGGCAGTGATTCCACCAATTTCTCTTATGACTGTGACTGTAGACAGGTCATTGATGCTGTTTGTACCTATATTTGGTCATGTGCATAAGAACAATTTTAGAGATCTATCTACCTCAATAGGTAGTTTTAAGAAATAAATGTCGGCCAGGCCTGGTGGCTCATGTCTATAATCCCAGCACTTTGGGAGGCCAAGGCAGGTGGATCGCCTGAGGTCAGGAGTTCAAGACCACCCTGGCCAACATGGTGAAACCCGATCTCTACTAAAAATACAAAAATTAGCTGTGCGTGTTTAGCTACTCAGGAGGCTCACACTGGAGAATCGCTTGAACCCTGGAGATGGAGGTTGCAATGAGCCAAGATCTCGCAGCTTCACTCTAGACTGGGCAAAAGAGGGAGGAAGGAAAGAAGGAAGGCCAATATACATGCAAAAATCAGAGTATAATATCTAGAATATAAACAGCACCCACTGGAGGTGAATTACTTTGCCATCACCTGAGACTCTATTCTCTTAGGTTTTTATATACCTATAAAATCTACAGCAAGAGGCATTTGACCCTTTGGTTGTTTTTGTCTTTCAGGATTGATATGTATACAGAAGGTATGGCAGATTTGTATGAAATGATCCTTCTTCTGCCCTTTTGCCCACCTGAGGAAAAAGATGCCAAGATTGCCTTGATCCAAGAGAAAACAAAAAATCGCTATTTCCCTGCCTTCGAAAAAGTAAGTGAAGCTCTTCAGCATTTTGGGGCATTGAGTTTAGAGGACAATAGAAAAATAGTGGTTGGGCATTCCTGTGAGACTTCCTGAACACCAATGCAGCACTCTGACTCTCAAGGCATTTTATGAAAATAGACTTGGAGGAACAATGATACCACTTATCCCCAAGTTACAATTTTCCAGCAAAATTTCAATTTACTAGACCCCAATATAGAATTTTCTATTCAACAATTTTATGTTTGTCAGTAGAACATGGGCTGTGGAAGGCTCTGAACCACACTAGGGGTTGCTGTTGAGTCTATGGAACACAGACTTTGAAGATGAACGTGATGAAAGCGATCCACCAGAAAATATTCTGGCACCTCGTAGGAAGACAGGAGACCAATTTCCCAACCACAGAATATTGTAGTGTTTCAGAGATGAGTATTTCTTAAAAAGAGAGCGATTGTGGGATGCAGAAGAAGTTTTTTGTTTCTTTGAGAAGGAGTTTTGCTCTTGTTCCCCAGGCTGGAATACAATGGCGCCATCTTGGCTCACCGCAACCTCTGCCTACCAGGGCTTCTCCATGTTGGTCAGACTGGTCTCGAACTCCCGACCTCAGGTGATCCTCCCGCCTTGGCCTCCCAAAGTGCTGGGATTACAGGTGTGAGCCACCATGCCTGCCCAGAGGTTTACTTCAGATCCCAGGGAGATAAAGCAGGAAATGAGGAAAACAGACAAGTCATTTTATGAAAATAAAAAATAAATGCATTTTTATGAAAATAAAAAATAAATGCATTTTTTTTTTGAGATGGAGTCTTTCTCTATCACCCAGGCTGTAGTGCAGTGGCACAATCTCAGCTCACTGCAACCTTCGCCTCCTGGGTTCAAGTGATTCTCCTGCCTCAGCCTCCTAAGTAGCTGGGATTACAGGTGCGTGCCACCACACTCAGCTAATTTTTGTATTTTTAGTAGAGACTGGGTTTCACCAGGTTGGCCAGGCTGGTCTTGAACTCCTGACCTCGTGATCTGCCCCCTCAGCCTCCCGAAGTGCTGAGATTACAGGCATGAGCCGCTGCACCCTGCCTTAGGCGCATTTTAAAGTAAGTTGCAGACATCAGCGTAGTTTACTCCTAGATGCTTCAGCTTACAGATTATAGCAGTGCAGGTTAATAGTCAGAGCTGATGTTGCAAGAAAGATGATGAATTCAAGTTCACCCAGGTTTACTTCAGATCCCAGGGAGATAGAGCAGGAAATGAGGAAAGCAGACAAGGCATTTTATGAAAATAAACTTGGCAGAACAATTGATACCACTTATACCCAAGTTATAATTTTCCAGCAAAATTTCAATTTACTAGACCCCAATACAGAATTCTCTGTTCAAAAAAATTGTATGTTTGTGAGTAGAACGTGGGCTGTGGAAAGCTCTTAATCACACTAGAGGTTGCTGTTGAGTCTATGGAACATATGGAGAAGTGAAGACTCTGAAATAGCCTACTCCTGGGGGAAGAGAGCTGTCATGAAGGTGGAGTTGCTGCCCAAGGGAGATTGGAGAGGGAGAGAGCAGAGTAGAGCCGCATCCTAAATGTCAGGACTGCGCGCTGGAGGGCGTGGGGCAGACGGAACATGCATAGGCAGGTGTGAAGCCCTTGGCCCATGTAGAAGAGGCAAGCTGGGTGGGTGGTGTGGACGCCACAGTGATGTGGAATGAGAAGAGAAAATGGGAGCCTGGGCTCCAACGGAGGAGTGAGCAGAGCCACATTCTTGCTCCCTCCCTCAATCAGGGAACATAAACAAAGGCCTGGACCTTTATGTCACTCAGTTAGGCAACACAGGTGAGAATGTCAGGCTGGAAAGACGCAGGGAGAAGCAGGGACCCAGCCTGATTGCACATGTGTTCCTGATCTGATTCCTCAAATTCTCCAGGTGTTAAAGAGCCATGGACAAGACTACCTTGTTGGCAACAAGCTGAGCCGGGCTGACATTCAGCTGGTGGAACTTCTCTACTTTGTGGAAGAGGTTGACCCCAGCCTTATCTTCAGCTTCCCTCTGCTGCAGGTGACCCATTTCACCACCCAGAGAGGCAGCCCCACATCTCCCATCTTGGGATCTAGTATCTGGGCCTTTGGACCGGTCATCTTCTGACCCTAGCCTTTTTTAGGCCTTCAGTGCTCTCAGGTCTCCAAAATGAGTTTCCTGGCCCCAATTTTGAGGCATGAAAAAACTGTTGTTATAGCAGGGAAATCTCTGGGACATGCTACCCCATGAAGAGTATTTTGCCTTTTATCATGGAAAGGACCCAGGGCCCAGCATATTCCTCCCCCTTCCTCTGTAGCCTGTCCCTGAGTTCTCTGTGATGCCCTTTATCTCAGGAGTGTCCTTGTGTTCCCACACTGAGTGTGTCTGAGCAGGGCCCTTGCCATCTGGTTCCTTCCTGGGCTCTGGCTCGGGCTGCTGGACGTTGTGTTCCTCTCTGCACAGTCATCTCAACACAACGGCCCCGCACACTGTGTCTCTCAGTGGGAAAAAGCGGTCCCATGGTTTGTCTTTAACATTTTCTGTACTATTTTCCTTTCCAACTCCTTTCTCCGTATTTTCACTTCTGCTCAGAGACTGACCTGTGTTGATATCTTCTTGTCTTACACAAAAGCCACAAATCTACAGTATTAATATGTAAGGGCTAAGCTAGGGATGACTGAACTGAATAAAATCTTAAAGACATCTTTGGGGAAAATGCTAGCGAGCTACATGTTCTTCCTCTTCTCTTCATTTCTCTCTGCGTATCTGTTTCTGCCTCCATACTGCTGCTGATGGAGGAGACTCACTTGGTCTTTGGCAGGAGGGCTCAGATTCCCTGGGTGGTGTAAACGGTGATGTCAGCCCTTAGCTTCACTCTGAGGCTGTGCTTTGTGAATTACAGGCCCTGAAAACCAGAATCAGCAACCTGCCCACGGTGAGGAAGTTTCTGCAGCCTGGCAGCCCAAGGAAGCCTCCTACAAACGCGAAATCTATTGAAGAAGCAAGGAAGATTTTCAAGTTTTAATAAAGCAGCCATGGAGGCCAAGCATATGCAAGGCCAATATTCTAAAGCTTTGCAACAATAAAGCGCTTTACCTAACTGTTGATTGTGCCTGTTGTGAAGCTTATGAACTCTTTCCACTTATATGCTAATTAAATAATAAAAAAGTCCTATTTGCCGACTTAGTTAAAATTTAAGCCTTTTCATTAGGATCGGATATGAAATCAGATTTCTATCTCCTCCTATCCTGTCTCTTTCTTAAAATTAAAACTTTAGTAAAAATGGAAAATGTAAGGGCCGGGCATGGTGGCTCACGCCTGTAATCCAAGCACTTTGGAGGTCAAGGCAGGAGGATCACCTGAGGTCGGGAGTTCAAGACCAGCCTGAACAACATGGTGAAACCCCATCTATAGGAAAAAAAAAAAAGGGAAATGTAGGTTATGTGGTTTGACTTTTCCAAGAATTGTCCTGTAACATTCGTCATACAATTTATTAAAAAGTCAGGTGGAGAAATGTACGTCTGACATTTTCAGGTATGCACAGGGAAAGAGTTACCATTCTGGGTAATGGCTTAAAGACACTTTCTTCTTTTCCTGGACAGTTTATTTCTGATAAAAGCATTCTTTCTGATACATTTTCAAGACGGCTATTCCGTCTGCTGTGGCTTCCTCAGTTTTCTGGGAGGTGAGGAAATACTGAAGAGCAAGGAGACCCGCCCTCTGCTCTCAGACCACCCTGCTGTCCCTCACAGTGCGTGTGCTCCTGGCTCATCCTCACTCTGCTCCTTAAGGCTCTGTGGGGCCCCGGGCATGAGCCTTCCCTCAGTTCCCTCAGTGCCACTCAGGCCTGGGCTGCCAAGATGCAGATGGTATCTGTGAATCACATACAAGTAACTAAATGCAAAATCATTTTTCCCTGGTGTGTCAATGTGCCAGAGTGCTTGGATTAGGAGTGCTTCCTAGCTTCAGCCTCTACTGTGCCTACAATGCTAATCCCTCCCAGGATACCTGGGCTTCTGCAAAGTGAGCTCTCCTCCTCTGAGAGTGGCTTCCCCACAGTTGGCGAAGGTGGGTGAGGGAGCAGACAGACACACAGGCTTCCTACCTGCAGCTTCACTTTGCTCTCGTCTCTTTTCCACTTACCACCAGAGTAGGTTTTCTACAATGCAGATCTGAATATCACAGAATTCTTCAGTGAGTACTCACTGCATACAGAATGCATCCTCACACCTGTCCTCACTCCCTGATCTCCAGCCCAATCAACCCTATGAGCATGGTAGGGCCTCTTGCCTTCCTGCCTGGGTGCATTTGCTAGCCCTGCCTGGCAAGCTCCTTCCAGTGCCCACAATTAAGTCTGCCCCGTTGCTTCTGAGGAGTGCTGGGCTGTCCTCTGTGCTTCCCACAGAGTCCAGTGAGCCTCTAATAACCCCTGAGGTCCACTGTGTCTGCTCCACTGTCCCATGAGCTCGAGTATGGAACACTTACATAAACTAGAATGCTGAAGCTTTGATGAAACTAAGAGATTGTAGAATTTTAATATGGTAAGAAAAGAATGTGATTATGTTTAAGACAAAAAGTTCTTCCTTTCTAGACATGAATCCTATTGTTTACAGAGGAATGATATGCTGTCTGGAATTTGCTTCAAAAGAATCCCCTGGCAGTGGGGGGAGAAGGTAGAAGTTGATATTATCTTCTATGGCATCTGTCGCAGATTCCTATGAACCAGGTGACTTGAAACAACAGAAATTCTGAAGGTCAGAAGTCTGAAATCAGGTACTGGTCCTGGTGGAGGGGCCTGGCTTGGTCCCCAGAAGCTCTAGAGAACAATCCCTCCCTGCCTCTCACAGCTTCTGGGGGCTCTTGGCCTTTCTGGACTTTCATGGATGGTGGCCACGTCACTCTACTTTCTGCCTGGGGCTTCCAGCACCTCAGCCTCTGTGTGTCTGTGTCTTCTATGTTGTGGGGACACTTCTCACTGGATTTAGGGCCTATTAGATATACCAGGATGATGTCATCTCAAGTTCCTTAACTTCATCTGCAAAGAGCCTTTATCCAAATAAGATCACATTTATAGGATCCAGGGGTTTGGACATGGACCTACCTTCCATGGGGGCCGACATAACCCACTGCATGGTGTAGGTGAAGGAAGGTGCTTGTCAATTGATGAATCCAGGTCATGGGTACTTTCAACTTTATTATATGATTCTCTCTACTTTTGTATTTGCTGGAATTTTTCTATGTAAATTAAAAAACTATCTTATTTTAGGAGCTCCTACGATGTCCAGGTTTTGTGCCAGAACGTGAGGACTGGAATCAAATAGAAGAAGGCTTTCCCCTCAGGAGCTCAGGGTCTAGTGGAGAAGCTGATACTGAATACATCATGTCAAAACAGTGTAGGGAAAGAAGACGCAGTAGAGAAAACACAGTAGTAGGTGAAGGGAGAGCCTTCTAGTCAGGACCATTACCATGTGCAAAGATCCAGAGGTCAGGAAGGATGATTGAGTGACGCAGAGAGGAAATAATATGCAAATAGGGTGGCCAGATTTGGCAGACAAAATACAGGACACCCAAGTAAATAGATGAACAATCTATTTGAACAATCATCAGATGAACAATCAATACTTTTTTTTTTCGTATAATCATGTTACCTACAGTGCTTGGGACATACTTATACTAAAAAGACATTAATTCTTTGCCTGAATTTTACATTTTCCTGGGTTCCCTGTATTTTATGTGGCAAGCCAGTTAAGAGAAGCCTTCCAGAATGCCATCAGCCTGTCCGTCACAGACATCCCCTCCCAGCTACGCTCCCAGCAGACGTTTCTCATCTGCCTTAGTCCTTGCCTCCAAGCCATGAAAAGTAAGCGTCTTTAAAAAGCCAGTTTCTACAGACTTGGAAAGAGCCAAATCTGCTGAAATGTTTCGTTAAACTTTTATTGCCAACCTTGAAAAGGAACATATTAACTAGCTATCTTGTGATAAGAGGATGACTTGCCATTTTTCTTAGATGCTAGTAGGCAGTCCTGTGGCCCTGAAATGTGTGGGAGTGGCTTTTTGCTAAATTGACTGTACCCCTCTCAATGGGTGGCAGCTATGGAAAGGAACATGTAGCTTATAAGCACAAGAGGACCTTAAATTAAGTTGTTGAACCAAGAGGGTGACAGCCTTTAACAAACTAAACACTGATTTCGTAAATCATCTCATACTGCCTCATATCCTCTCATCTAGATCACTAGAAAAATACTTCTAAATGTATCCTTAGCACAATTTAAAAAATCTGTTTAATACTCACATCAATGCCTTATTTGTGTGCTTGGATGAGAGTTCAAGCTGTGCATTCAGCTGCTTTTGGATACATTGTGTCAACTTAATAAACAGAAAGAGACTCTAAAAGAAAAGTTGTTTATGTGGGAAAGAAGTTTTGTAATGGGTTTATGTGTACCATAGTAAACCATTTATGTACTTAAGGAGATAAAGGAAGACAAAGGTTTTCAAAGAAAAAAATGAAAAGGATTAAATAAATGTTCTAAAATACTTATCATTCACTACAAACATTAATAACAAGGGTGACATCAGGTCAAGTTTGAACTGGCAGTTACCGATCAGATGTCCTTGCAGAAGTTTTTTGTATAATGTGATAAGCTTTATGCAAGATTATGTTTTTAGTAACTTTTTTTCTTACCCAATAAAAAAGAATGAGAACCTTCTCTCCATGGCTTTTCCAGCTCTGTTTGTCAAGGTTTTCTTAACATTAGCAACTTTTCATTTTGTTTCTGATAATGTTCACAGTCATTACAGAAATGTAAAAATAAAGAATTTATAAAACTAGGGCATGAGAATGTAATGATAGGAAAAAAGTGAATGATCTAAGGTTAAAAAAAAAATGATGGTGTCATTTTAGATAATCTGAGAATATGAACAGCGCCAGAGGAAACATAGGTATTTGTGCTGAAGTTGCTTTCGCTAGACAAGTAGTCAATACACAATTGTTGTGAATGAAATTTGGCTAGATCATAGACTTGGGATTCCCAAGACCCATGAAAAGGGCATAGATCTGCACAGTTCCATGTCTGCTGTTGTTACTCCAAACCTCCATCTCCTGCTGAGAAAAGAACCACCAATACCTATCAAATACAATTCTAATTTGCAACTTAATGGTAGATATCACACACATTCGCGCTTCCTTTGGGAAGTGCTTTGTGATTTGTTGCGTAGTGTTGGTGCCACTGTCTTTTCAATATTTCTTTAAGGTTGTTATGCTCCAAATAGCAGGCAAAATCTTTTGTGAGCCACTGTGCAGCACTTGCAGGTTAATCTAAGACTGTAGTACTTTTAGTTTTATAAAGCAAGATTTATGATGAAATTTATGATGAAAAATAAATTTATTATTTCATCATAAATTTGTGATGAAAAAATTTATGAAAAAATTTTCATTTATGAAAAATTATGATAAAAATTTTATGATGAAAAATTAAGAACAAGAATGCCCTTCTTGAGAATTTTTATATTCCTGATTCAATGATTATTTATTAATCCTTGTCCTTTGCCCTGTTAAACATTTGTCCAAAAATCCTGCTCTTTCCAAATTCCTCTTTCTTTAGTCCTTCTGTGTCTACTTAGCGGGACAGTCCCATTCCTTTTTTTTTGTTTTTTAGCCCATTTCTTTATTAATTCTGCTTAAACTGCAGAAAATTGAGTCTGATAATCAGGATTGGTTGATCCATTGTCACGATTCTATTATTTAAGTTTTTCTATATTATTTAATTTCCACATCAAGCAAGCTCAAAAGTGGAAATTGGAGAAATCTCTGTGACCACTAAAATGTACACTAGTTCTACTCCTGTTAGAATGAATCAGTCTCTGAATGTCAGGCAAACTAGAATCTGATTAGCCTTTGCTACTAATTAGCTGGATGACAAGTCACATTCTCTCTCTGGGGTTCAACCAGCTCATGACAAACCTAGAAAATAGCTAAGAAAAAGTCTCTCACCCTTGGCCCCGCTTGCGTTGGGTAATTATTCATGCTTAGGGGCTGCCTTGTTCATTAGAGGACATTTCAAGTCGTCACTGGCCTCTACCTACTTGATCTGGTAGCATGACGTAACCCCACGTTGTGACAACCAAAAATGTCTTCAGACATTGGTGAATGTCCTCTGGGATAGGGGAGTAAAATCTCTCCTGGTTGAGAATCACTTGACGACGTGCCTTCTGAAAGTGTTTAAACTCAGAAGTCCTGATAGGAGAACTACATGGTCACTGAAGCATACAACTAGTTTTTAAAAAGCACCGAAAGGCATCCGACTAGAATGTATGATGTCATTAGAGTATATAAGTTGACAATGCCTGGAATAAATGTTTAATATTGAGGGGTAGGAGATGTTAGAAAAGGAAGATCAGGGGCTGGGCGTGGTGGCTCATGCCTGTAATCCCAGCACTTTGGGAAGCCGAGGGGGGCGTATCATGAGGTCGAGAGATGGAGACCATCCTGGCCAACATGGTGAAACCCTGTCTCTACTAAAAATATAAAAACTAGCTGGGCGTGGTGGCACGCACCTGTAGTCCAGCTACTCGGGAGGCTGAGGCAGGAGAATTGCTTGAACCCGGGAGGCGGATATTGCAGGGAGGCAGATATTGCAGTGAGCCGAGATCACGCCACTGCACTCCAGCCTGGCGCCTGGTGACGAAAGGAGACTCTGTCTCAAAAAAAAAAAAAAAGAAAAGAAAAAGAAAAGGAAGATCAGGAGTTTCAGTGAGATCCTCTTTTTGGATACAGATATGAGAGCTATGCAAGCTATAAAAGAATTCACAGGAAAGAAATATAGCACCCAAGTAAGAAGATACTGAAATGACAGTTGCAAGAGGTTATAGAGAACAATGTTTAAATATGGATGAGTGATCCTACTTTGAAGGAAAGCAGATTGGGGGGTACAAGGTCCACTGAACCTGCAGATTGAGATGCTACTGTGGAAAAAAGGAGCCCACCTGGGCAGAAAAGACAGGGTCCTCAACTTTGACCCTGGCAGCCTTCTCCCCTTGCTCTGATTTACTTGGCTAAGAGAATCATGATCCTTGGTTGGAATTTCTAGGAACCCATTAAAGTGAAGTCACTGCTGAACACATTCTGCTCTGTTTTTCTTTTTTCTTTTCTCTTTCTTTTGAGACAATCTTGCTTTGTCTCCCAGGGTGGAGTACAGTGGTATGATCTAGGCTCACTGCAAACTCCACCTCCCGGATTCAAGTGATTTTCCCACCTCACCTTCCCTAGTAGCTAGGACTGCAGGCAAGTGCCACCACACCTGGCAATTTTGGGGGGAGCATTTTTGATAGAGATGGGGTTTCACCATGTTGCCCAGGCTGGTCTCAAACTCCTGGGCTCAAGTGATCCGCCTGCCTCAGCCTCCGAAAGTGCTGGGATTACAGGCATGAGCCACCACACCACATAGGGCCCCACAAACCTGTTTTTCTGACTAGATTTAAACCCTTTAGCGCAGGGACCAAATCAGACCAAATTTTTTTGCTACAAGCCAGCACCATTGCTTGCGACACTGAAACTGCTCAATATGTTAGGTAGTTTGAGCAAAACTTTTTAGAAGAGGCAAATACTTCAGAAACAAGGAATTGAAGAGGGATCAGCAAAATGTCTGCATTTTCAGGTAAGCGACAGGGTGGTGTAGAGAAGTGACTGTTTTTATCAAGTGTTAAGAGTGAAACCCTGCCCAAGAGCTATGAATAGCTGGAGAGAGGCAGCAGGGCTCCCACTTGCAAGGCTGGAGTTCATGCAAAGGGAGCCTGGCAATCGGAAAGGCTCAGACTGCCCTGAGCAGTGGGTGAGTGGTAGCTGGGTCTGGGCTAAGGAGAGATACCCACCAGATGCAGGGTATGGGAGCCTTTTTCTGCAATATAAATCATGTCTTTTTCCAGGTTATAAAACAACCTGGGAACCAAGGATCTGCTGCAGTCTAGGAGTTAAGCAAGCTGTGTTAACGGTGAGTCAGGTCTCCCTGAACCTTCACTGAAAACTTTCTGTTAATCCAGTGTATTTGTCTGTTCTCATGCTGCTAATAAAGACATACTGGAGACTGGGTAACATAAAGGAAAAGAGTTTAATGGACTCATAGTTTCACATGGCTGAGGAGGCTTCACAATCATTGCAGAAGATGAAGGAACAGCAAAGGAACCTCTTATATGACTGCAGACAAGAGAGTGTGTACAGGGGAACGCCCATTTATAAAACCATGAGATCTCGTGAGACTTTTTCAGTACCACAAGAACAGCACGGGAAAGACCCATCCCCATGATTCAATTACCTCTCACTGGGTCCCTCCCATGACATGTGGGAATTATGAGACCTACAATTCAAGATGAGATTTGGATGAAAACATAGCCAAAACATATCACTCAGGTTGACTGGATTCGTGAATATCACTAACCTCTGTACAGGAGCTTTATAGAAAAGACCCATTATATGACTTATTTGAAAAAAAAATTATGGATATCCATAAAATCTTATTTTTACCAGAGCTTAATGGGTTAAGAGAGAGAGAGAGATCCATGTACTACCCAATGTGTTCACAGAGACTCATCCACATCCCAAGAAGTGGGGGCTGGAAGACACTCTCATTACTCAGTTCCTATTATGAATTTTATGTACATGATTTTATTAGTCTGTTTTCACATTGCTATAAAGAAATACCCAAGACTGGGTAATTCATAAAGAAAAGTAGTTTAATTTACTCACAATTCTGCATGGCTGGGGAGGCCTCAGGAAGCTTAACAATCATAGTGGAAGGTAAAGGAGAAGCAAGTACCTACTTCACAATGCAGCAGGAAAGGGAGAGAGCAGGAGAAACCACCACCTAGAAAACCATCGGATCTCATGAGAACTCACTCACCATTACGAGAATAGCATGGGGAAACTGCCCCCATGATCCAACTACCTCCACCAGGCCCCTTCCTTGACATGTAGGGATTATGGAGATTACAATTTGAGATGAGATTTGGGTGGGGGCACAGAACCAAACCATATCCATTATTTCATTTAACTTTCTCAACGGCCCTCAAAAGTAAGTATAACAATCTCTATTTTTTCTTTGTTTGTTTTTTAGACAGAGTCTCATTGAGTCACCAGGCTGGAGCGCAGTGGTGTGATCTCAGTTCACTGTAACCTCCATCTCCTGGGTTTAAGCAATTCTCCCGCCTCAGCCTCCTGAGTGGCCAGGACTATGGGTACTGCCGCCACCGTGCCCAGCTAATTTTTGTATTTTTAGTAGAGACGGGGTTTCGTCAATTTGACCTGGCCTGGTCTCAAACACCTGACCTCAACTGATGCACCTACCTCGGCCTCCCATAGTGCTGGGATTACAGGCATGAGCCACCACGCCGGGCCAACAATCACTATTTTGAAAAGACAGAATTGAGCTCAGAATTTAAAGAGCCTACTGAGTTTATGAACCTCATAATGGAAGGATTTGTGATTTATCTCAGTCTCCCTTCTCTCTGACAAGAAACAGTATAAGTAGAACCATCCAGAGACCTAACTCTTTTAATTTACTACTGGGATTATATAGGTTATTTTCTTTTCAGTACAAGCTCATTTTCTAACTGAGGTAAATATACTTGTACTAGTCCTCAACTGACTCTGGTTTTTAGGTTGTCAAATCAGAGAAAGGCACACTTTTATGAATATTTTCTTCCAATCAAGCTCCTGAAAAGCTGCTAGCAGAAAGGAACTCAAGATTCAGGTGTTTATCTCTTGCCCTCTCCTTTAAACCTTTAGCTGGCTAGTAAACTCTGAATGGGAAAATATGAAACAACTTCTCAGACAGGAGCAGAGCCAGCTTATAGGGTGGAGTGGAAAAGCTCTGGACCTGCGATGAGAATGAGTTCAGGCTGACCCAGCACTCACCAAGCGTGCGGCGTGGGACAGGTGCTGCAGCTTTCTGAACCTCAGTGTGCCCATTAGGATGTCGGGTCATTTCACAGGTTGTGCAGAAGGTAGACACACTCCCTAGATATTGACCATGAATGAGGAGCATGTGTGTGTGACCCATGGAAATCTTTGAGCCTCTCTGGTTCTCATATTCTGTTAGCCCAGGAAAGCTCTGTGGTTAACTTTGTCCCAGTCTTGGCCTGGCCTTTGGAAATCTCATGTTGTGAAGGTGATATATTCCTTATAAGCAAGAACATTATGATAAAAGGTTATTTAATAATTCATTTCCCTTTGAAACAGGGTCCCCAGTCATGGCTAAGGGTACAAGTAGGTGATTTGAGTTACTCCATGAACTCTAGTCCATAATAATTAAACAAGCACAAACAAGCACACCCCACTCTCTGTGTGAACTTCACTCTCCCTTTTATTCTGCTGATTCATGCTATCTCCA